CCACAAAAATTATATCCATGGAAGTCATAATTTTGACCGACAGTGCACATGGTCCTATGCCCAAAACAGTTCCAGGGAATATTCAGGGCTGAAGTACAAAAATACATAAATCACATGAACAGAGCCTTTTAAAGTGCACGGGGCAAGGTATATTGCAGGGCCCATAGTCCTGAGGCAGGAGGCTGGCAAGCAGTCTCCTCCAGGAGCCCGTGGCGAGGTTCACCACACTTCCCTTGTGGTTTTGACACCACATTACAAGGTGCAAACGTTCTAAAACCACATTCTAAAGGAGACGCTTCCCTTGCCTGATTTCACACAGGGACTTTAGGAACGGAGGAGGTTCACATTGGACACCGTTGGTGGGGATATTCCTTGGGGACAATGGCGGTTTGGCAAGTTTTCTGTAGCTGGGAGTCACAGAGGCAGGAAGTTTTCCAGCACTGGGACTCCCAGGTACAGCGGCTTATTGGATAAAGACCCCTGGTCACCGGAGGTGGGAAACCCTGAGGATGGGTGGCGGGAACTGGGGACAAAGGGACTGAGGTTCCGGTTCCGTTATGTGACCCTCAGGAGGGGGAGGACCCTGGAAGGGGACATTGTCGTTGTGTGTACTCCACCCCTTTGCATGGGGAAAGTATAAAGCCGAGTGTGGCCAATAAAGTGTTGTTGTACCCCTGGAACTGTGTGTCGTCCAGTTACTGGGGGAAAATGGGTGTCTTCATTCAGTCATAGCGGAGGTAACCAGTCGGGTTACCCACGGTCCGCTACACTGCCCACTACCATTGCTGGTACTCTGCCCAGTAGCATTGAGGGTCCACTGTCCACTACCATTGATGGTACACTGCCCACTACCATTGTGGGTACACTAGCACTACCATTAAGGGTACACTGCCCACTACCATTCCTGGTATACTGCCCACTACCATTGAGGGTACAGTGCCCACTACCATTGATGGTACACTGCCCACTACCATTCCTGGTATACTGTCCACTAACATTGATGGTACAGTACCCACTACTATTGCTGATACCCTGCCGACTTTCATTGCTGATGCACTGCCCACTACCATTGAGGGTACAGTGCCCACTACCATTCCTGGTATACTGCCCACTACCATTGAGGGTACAGTACCCACTACCATTGCTGATACCCTGCCCACTTTCATTGCTTGTACACTGCCCACTACCATTCCTGGTATACGACCTGTAGCAGACCCCTTGTAACCTGACCGGTTACCTCCGCTATTACCTTTCTTCAGCCACTCTGGAACCCTTAACACAAGCAGGCATCCCTTTCCCCCAGTAAATGGATGACATACAGCTCTGGGAGTACAACTGAAAATGAACTGCTGTTTATTTTATCACACATGGTTTACAGGCACAGACCCCTACATGGGGTCTCCAACACAATACAACAGGGGCCTACATAGTATCCAACAGTATACAAAAGGGGTTTCAATACCAAGAAGCTGATGGGGGATGGAGGAGGGACAACGTCCTGCTAGGACAGGAAAAGGAAGGGGGAGTGGGAGAGGCACAGACAAACAGTACATTCAGAAAAGGAAGGGGGAGGGGGAGAGGCACAGACAAACAGTACATTCAGAAAAGGAAGGGGGAGTGGGAGAGGCACAGACAAACAGTACATTCAGAAAAGGAAGGGGGAGAGGCACAGACAAACAGTACACTCTGAAAAGGAAGAAGGAGTGGGAGAGGCACAGACAAACAGTACATTCAGAAAAGGAAGGGGGAGTGGGAGAGGCACAGACAAACAGTACATTCAGAAAAGGAAGGGGGAGTGGGAGAGGCACAGACAAACAGTACATTCAGAAAAGGAAGGGGGAGTGGGAGAGGCACAGACAAACAGTACATTCAGAAAAGGAAGAAGGAGTGGGAGAGGCACAGACAAACAGTACATTCAGAAAAGGAAGGGGGAGTGGGAGAGGCACAGACAAACAGTACATTCAGAAAAGGAAGGGGGAGGGGGAGAGGCACAGACAAACTGTACATTCAGAAAAGGAAGGGGGAGTGGGAGAGGCACGGACAAGTAATACATTCAACCTATAGTACAGCGCTACGGAATTTGCTGGCACTCTATAAATAATAAAAATAATAACCTACCCTGCACCAATAATGGGCACAGGGTGACCAAAATATGTTTCTCAAGTAAATCATACTGTAGACCTTAGACAGATTTAAATCACTTGCAAGTACTTGTCACCAGATGTGTGGAACATTTTGCTATGATTTATATATTTGTTTTGTGTTTTTCTCCTCTCTTCTCGAAGGGGCTTGAAGGGATGCAATAAGTAAAACGATGCAATAATGCAACACCACTAAACCAGACACTGCTGATCGTAACAATTTAAAGAGATGACTTTGAACACATAGTCCGTCACACTGCCCACTACCATTCCTGGTATACTGCCCACTTCCATTGCTGGTACACTGCCCACTACCATTGCTGCTACACTGCCCACTGCCATTTGTGGTACACTGCTCACTACCATTGCTGGTATACTGCCCACTACCATTGCAGGTACACTGCCCACTATCATTGCTGGTATAGTGCCCACTACCATTCCTGGTATACTGCCCACTACCATTCCAGGTATACTGCCAACTTCCATTGCTGGTACACTGCCCACTACCATTGCTGGTACACTGGCCACTATCATTTGTAGTACACTGCTCACTACCATTGCTGGTATACTGCCCACTATCATTGCTGGTACACTGCCCACTACCATTGAGGGAACACTGCCCACTACTATTGTTGGTACACTGCCCACTATCATTGCTGGTATACTGCCCACTACAATTGCAGGTACACTGCCCACTATCATTGCTGGTATAGTGCCCACTACCATTGAGGGTACACTGCCTGCTACAATTGCTGGTACACTGCCCACTATCATTGCTGGTATAGTGCCCACTACCATTGAGGGAACACTGCCCACTACCATTGCTGGTACACTGCCCAATACCGTTGCTGGTATACTGCCCACTATCATTGCTGGTACACTGCCCACTACCATTGAGGGAACACTGCCCACTACCATTGAGGGAACGGTGCCCACTACCATTGCTGGTACACTGCCCATTACCGTTGCTGGTATACTGCCCACTATCATTGCTGGTACACTGCCCACTACCATTGAGGGAACACTGCCCACTACCATTGCTTGTATACTGCCCACTATCATTGCAGGTACATTGCCCACTATCATTGCTGGTATACTGCCCACTACCATTGCTGGTATAGTGCCCACTACCATTGAGGAAACACTGCCCACTACCGTTGCTGGTATACTGCCCATTATCATTGCTAGTACACTGCCCACAGCCATTGTGTGAACACTGCCCACTACCATTGCTGGTACACTTCCCACTATCACTGCTGGTACAAGCAGGGCCGGCCTTAGGGGTGTGGCCGCACAGGGCGCCATGGAGCAGGGAGCGCCGTGCGGCTGTTTAAAAAAAAAGGAAATTGTGGTGGGGCTTCCCTGTGACATGGGCGGAGCTTCCCTGCAGTGGGGGCGGAGCTAAATGTGCCAGATAAGTTTTGCAGGAGAAGGAATCCCTGCTTCCCCCAACAAACAGTGTCCAGGAGCTTTACTGCCTCCACAATGAACAGAGAGAATGAACAGAGAAAAGCTATCACTCCTGGACATTATTTGAGAATAGTGATGTCCTGAACAGTTCGCCAAACGGTTCGCCATGGATGGCGAACATATGCGCTGTTCGGTCTGCCCCCTATTCGTCATCATTGAGTAAACTTTGACCCTGTACCTCACAGTCAGCAGACACATTCCAGCCAATCAGCAGCACACCCTCCCTCCCAGACCCTCCCGCTTGTTACATTTCACGTAAAAGGGGCCCCACAAACGTCTGCAGTTCAAATCGTGGATCCACGTTTCCCTTTGCAAACTGACTAAACCTGAATGTGATTCTTTCACTGAGATAAAGTATAAATGGAGAAGAAGAAGACTCTCCCTTATAAAGGAGTACTCCCGCTACCTCAGGGGAGTATTGTCCAACTATTGTCCAGCTCAGAGTTAATGCTATCCATACTGATTGTTCTGCCTTTTTAACTGGGCAGAAACACCAATCTGTGGGGGTATGTATAGGATAAGTTTATTCCCAAAGTAAGATTCATCTAGTATGCCTCATTGATCATAGGGTAAAATGGTGAAATGGTATTTTTAACAGAGGTCAGACAATTTCTGATATTTATAAGTGAGGCAATTCTGATCTACTGAACTACTGTATCATATTTGTATTGGTAAATTGAAAGCATTTTGCAGACCCAGAAGAGGATAAATGATATAATAATTTCACAAGGAGCCAAATTATGGGAAGAGGCCACCCAAAGAACGCACTAATAGGTTAAAATCGTGTTTTTGCTTTTTGATCAACATATACAAGTAAGCTTTTGTGGTTAGAGATTTTTGATACTCAGTTTGATCTATGCCCAACCACATCTCACCCTGGCATTATTCATTATATGGAACAAAGACCATAAGTTAGGATTTTATAGTAAGATATTGTTTGAATTAGATGATTCGTGTTTTTAATATTTCATATATAGTTTTGGATGTTAATCCAAGAGTATTGAATTATTTGGGGTTATTAAAGTAATTCATTGGGATTATCAAATCAAGTTTAGGAACAGAGTTTTATTGTGAATTATCCCCATATGTGTATGTTAAGATTATGAATATAGATTTTGTGAGTTAGTCACTTGCTCGATAAAGTGTTTTAGTACCCATCCTGTCCAATCAAGTATTTATATAGAGTGAGTGTTTCTCTCGTCTGTACAAAGGCATTCCAAAGGGAATTATGTAAAATTTCATAGAAGACAAATTTCATGAAATATAAGCAAAGCTGAGAGAACTACGTCACACCTGTTAAGGATTTAATTTTAGTCTTTAATTTGACTTTTAGCCTAGGTAATTGATAAATTGATAATAATAGATATATCCTTTTAGAATTGTTCATGTCGTATCGATCCTTGTGTTTGTATAGTTGTAGAGACAGTCCTGGAGTGTTTGTGCTGCCTGATTCTTGGGATTGCGCACCAATCTCTCTCTCTGGCTAACTTTGCACTACCTATTTTGCAATTACATCTTTTTGGTCAAAATCAATGCAGGCCGAAGAAACTGAGATACTTACTTACGAGGACCTGGAAAGTCCTGAAGGTGCAGTGCTGTCTAATACCGCTGGTTCTGTATTAACCCTTTCAGCAATTGGGGTGTTGCACAGAGCAAGAACTAAGAACTATGTGGAAGCGGACATTTTCTTGTTGTCAGCCATTTTGCTACCCTTAGCTTTTTTATGGAACAAAATGTATGGTGTCCGAACTGATTTATTTATACTCCTTGAAGGACTTATTCTATTTTTTCTGAACTATGCTAAACTATTGAACTATTTTATTATTTATTATTTTTGTAGAGTTAGCCAGAGAGGGAGGAGGTGTTAGCTGGCCCAGTGAGGGATGTACTATGTGTTGTTGATGTATGTTGAGTGTGCCAAGGATGGTGTGACGAGAGCAATCTCGCCACATTGCATTGGAGAAGCCTGGTTGTTCGCCTGTTGCCTTTGGACTATGGCCCCATGTTAAAAGCCTTCTTTTCCCCTGCTGAAAAGGCTTATTTAACCAGATGCCTGTTCATTTGGTAGTTTAAACCGTATGAACAGCATTATCCCAGATAGCCATCGCGTGGAGTCTATTTGGATGGAGAACAGACTTTGTGAACACTTTAACTCCACGGCGATTGGACTGTGTGCATAGGATCTGAGCGCTATTCAGTACTTTTGTGCGCTCAGATCTAAGCTATCTGGGGATAGGTAGAATGTATATGTTTTGTGCAACAGTTGTAACTTTATAAATTTTTATGTATTTTACTGTCTTTTACTGCAATGTGGTTAATGGAGTTTTGCCTCGGTCCTGGGAGATAATTGAATTACTTCCCAATTATCTCCAGGACAGAGGGAGGGAAGTTAGGATGCATTGTGGGGAGGTTTTACCTCTGTGTGTCTGTCATTGGTTCATGTCTGTCCTTTGTCACAGTCTCCCATTTGGTCCCCTAGGGAAGTGTCCACCAGGTGGGAGACCTGCATAAATACTGGGCAGGTAGCCCTCTTTAAACAGACCACTGCTTGACCCACAACACGGAGCCTTGTCTCGTCTTTGGGGGGATTTACTGTATACATTCCCTTGTATGCAGTTCGGGTGTTTGGAGCATTCCCTTGTATGCAGTTCGGGAGTTTGGTGTTCTGCAGTAGCTGTGCCTGTGTATCTGAAAAGGGGAATGTCGCCTAAACGGTTTTAACCCCTTGTGTGCTGAAACGGTCCGTTACAATTGGTGGCAAGCGGCGGGATCGTTCCCACAGACTACAGGACAGCTACAGACGACACCATTCCGTGGATTTTTACAATTTGAGGGCAACGCATGTCCCAGTACAGCGACCCTGACAGCACCGAGATGGAACCAGCAGTGGAGTATGATGAGGGTGTCATGGATGACCGAGATGCGCTGCGCAAAGGCATCTGGTACCAGGCACTGGGTATTGTGGAGTACCAGCGGGGCGAGAGACTCCCCAAGGAAGACCAGCGACTGCAGAAGCGACTAGCCCTGCGGATGTCCTTTCTGGGAGAGCAGCCCCTAGATGAATGGGTGAAGGAATTGGGGCTCCGAGTATGTCAGGAGATTTGGCTGGAAGATGCCTATCAGGCGCTCTGGTGGTATGGGGCACAGTACCTGCCCTGGACAGCCGAGCATGACAAGCCAGAGGGAGAGGAGTTTGATGGTCCTGGCTTGTTATGGGAGTCTTTTGCAGAGCCTGAGTTTGGGAGCCCTACACAAGCCCGGTTCAGTGATCTCTTGGAGTGGAGGTAGAGCAGGTATGACTGGGACGACACTCATGAAAGACCTGGTCCGCCTGGTGACCCGAGAGATGAAGCTGGAGCAGGGCTACCAAGATCTGTTCCACTCCAGTGAGAAGACTCAGCAGGGAAGCGGAGACCCAGATCCAGACCCATTCAGGTGGGTAGATATTGTGGAGGATTACTGGGAAGAACCCCAGGTGGCGGGTGGAGATGGGACTGAGGTCTCTCCACCGGTATTGCAGGGAATTGGGAGCCCGAGCTCCATTCCGCAGCGGGATATATTGCAGGGAATTGGGAGCCCAAGCTCCATTCCCCAGCGGGAGATATTGCAGGGAATTGGGGGCCCGAGCTCCATTCCCCAGCAGGAGATATTGCAGGGAATTGGGAGCCCAAGCTCCATTCCCCAGCGGCAGGCAGAGACAAGTGGGGCAGAGACAAGTGGTCCTGTCCCCCAGCAGCAGTGTACCTTGCAGGGAGAGGAGAGCAGCATCCTCGAGAGCAATCTCACCACATTGCATTGGAGAATCCTGGTTGCTCGCCTGTTGCCTTTGGACTATGGCCCCATGTTAAAAGCCTTCTTTTCCCCTGCAGAAAAGGCTTATTTAACCGGATGCCTGTTCATTTGGTAGTTTAAACCGTATGAACTGCATTACCCCAGATAGCCATCCCGTGGAGTCTATTCGGATGGAGAACAGACTTTGTGAACACTTTAACTCCACGGCGATTGGACTGTGTGCATAGGATCTGAGCGCTATTCAGTACTTTTGTGCGCTCAGATCTAAGCTATCTGGGGATAGGTAGAATGTATATGTTTTGTGCAACAGTTGTAACTTTATACATTTTTATATCTTTTACTGTCTTTTACTGCCATGTGGTTAATGGATTACTTCCCAATTATCTCCAGGACAGAGGGAGGGAAGTTAGGATGCATTGTGGGGATGTTTTACCTCTGTGTGTCTGTCATTGGTTCATGTCTGTCCTTTGTCACAGTCTCCCATTTGGTCCCCTAGGAGAGTGTCCACCAGGTGGGAGACCTGCATAAATATTGGGCAGGTAGCCCTCATTAAACAGACCACTGCTTGACCCTCAACACGGAGCCTTGTCTCGTCTTTGGGGGGATTTACTGTATGCTGTTAGAGACTGGTTGCCAGGAGTGTAAGCCGCTTGGGTGCTTTTCCTGTTCGTCTGCTAGCAGCTATTCGTGAGGTTCCCATCTCCTCCCAATACTCAAGCTATGTATTCACAGAAGCGGCTATTAGAAGTCACAGGTGGTGTCAACGTGAGGGATGTCTATACTGTTGTGGCCCCCATTCAGGGTTTCCCCAGATGTGCTTTTTTCTCAAATATGAGTTTTTGACACTGTTTTTTTTTTTTTACCTGGCCCCAGATCACCGGGTGGACTGGTAATCCTAGATCCTGGTCCATGGACGAGGGATGGGTATTATTCCCACTTTGACTATAGGAGTTCACAATGTGAACAAAGGTCGGAAAGTGTTGGGAATAATACACTTTGCCTATACTGACCTTAGGCTCCAGCTACAGATGATCGGATGCTGAGTCTGTTTAAAACTGGTTAACTTGGAGCTTGTTAGCTATTTGAAATAATATATTTGGTCTATATACAATGCTCAAAGTAAGAACCCCTAGACAGAGTTATGAACTTTCCTGTCTCAGAGCGTTGGTTTTATTTGCTGTTTTCTATTTCTGTAATTCTAACTGCATAGTAACATATCTATTTTATGAGTGCGTAGTAACTTTTTATTTCAGCTGTGTAGTTAAACTGAAACTATAATGAGTACTCCCCCATTACACCTGCAAGCCAGCTATAGGATAAGATATGTTGAGATAAGATTGATGAATGATGTTATTATTGGATAATGTTTATAAGACCACCCCTGTTTCCTCTTGAATATAACCCGTTACACAGCCTATTAAATGTTAGGAGTACCAGGCTTAGCATTCTATAATAACCGAGTAATTAATGCCCTTGCCTGTTCCCTCGCCAAAATGGCTTCAATGCGACATCCCAGACCCTGGAGGAACTTCTAATGGATACCCAGATTAATAAGAAGGCAATCCTTGAAAATAGGGCAGCTATTGACTATTGATTAATGAAACGTGATTTAGGGTGTGAGGCAGAGGCAGTAAAGGGCATGTGTTGCTTTAATCTTTAGGATCAATGGACCTTGATCCATGAGCATATCCAGAATCTGCACGATTTAGTGAAGGAAATAAAACAAGATAAATGGTTCTTTGGGGATTGGGATTGGACTTTTGGTCTTGGTACATGGCTCAGTATGTTAATTAAGAAAATATTGTATTTCTTACTTATCGCAGTATTTGTCATAATGATGATTTTTCTGACATTTAAGTTCTTCTCCTGTCTTCTATCATCCTTGTGTAAATCAAAACCTCATGTTGGTCGTACCTTAACTTATATGCCAGCTTCCTCAACTTCTGACACCTACAGAGCTGTATAACTGATGAAGGAACATTCCTCCTGTGACCCCTGGCTTGCCCTGTCTGAGGGAACCTTGGTGAAGGCATTAATAAAAGACCCACAGGTGTTGACTAGCATACCTGTACATATCTCAGACACCTGGGTGAGCCGTGGGGTCAAAAAGAGGGAAATATAATGGAATTATTGATGGAAGATACCTCGACCCCAGGCTCAAGCTTTTAAGATGATCAGAGTCCAGTCTTTACTTCTTATGCTCTGCTTTTGTTTTTTAGTCTAATTTCGAGTGTCTGACAAATAAGCACAAGTAAGCATAAAATCCTGACTTGTAACATTCTGTGGTTTCTGAGGAGACAATTGCAGCTTTACCCTCAACCCCCACTTTCCACCCCCCTCCCCAATGTCCTAATGTTTTTATATATATAACCATTGAAATATGTTTGGTTCTGTAATTTTCCTTTTATGGTACAATGTGACTTCACCCATCCAGTTTTGGTCGCGCAGGTCACAAAGCTGTTTTTACAAAGTAATATATAATCTGTAAGCTTACACAATAAAATAAGGAAGTAATCTTTGAATCAAAAATTGTCTGGTCTGATTACTTTCTCAGAGCAGCTCGTAATAAAAGTGTGAATTTGGTTTCCACCTGAACGTATCTCCGGGTAAATTAATATCTATAACACTAGCTATGTAATTAACTATGTAACTCTGTAACTAACTATGTAACTATGTTGTTACGAATGTCAGTGGTTATGGTACTGAGTTCACCTATTCCCTTTCCAATTGCTGAGCATAAGTGATTATAGCTGCAGCTAGGGTGTAGAGGAATAGTAAAGATGAATGCAGTTTCCAAGAAAAATCTCCCTAGCAAATAAAAGTTACCCAAGCATGAGCCTAGACTTCATGAAGGGTACAACAGGAATAATGGTTTATTGATGCCACACTGGCTTTTATGGAAATCCTCCTGCAAGAGGACCTCCCACAGTAAACAAAAGTGACAACAGATTTACAGTAAAACCCTCCCTTCCTCTGCCTGGGAGATAAGTAGCTAAGTTAAGGAATAACCCAATTAACCCCAGGCAAAGGACACACAATTTCCCCAAAACTAGGAACACCCCTTTACACACAAGATATCCCCACATGTCCCCTGATAGTCCGATCTGGGGGACCAACATATTCAAATTTCACCCAGATCGGTTCAGGGGTTCTCAAAAAGTGTGGAAGTCTTAGTTCACCGACCGCACACGATGCTCCTGCCCAAAACAGTTCCATGAATTCAGTGTGTGCTGTCGGTCAATTTTGAAAAGTGCATAAAAATGAATAAAACCACGAACGGAGCCTCATGGCTCATAGGAGCAATTGTTCCCCTTGTTCGTGGGAACCAAATTACCGAACTGTGCTCTCCTAGCTGTTTCGGCAACAAAAGGAAGCAGGCGTTCAAATGTTTTCAGCGGTGTTCGGGAAGTCGAGTGTCCGATTTTAGTTCCAGACACTCGACGACCAAGTCCCGTGCTCCCTTTCGTGCAAACAAGATGGCCGCCGTTTTCTCTTCCACGTGGCGTTCGACTATGCAAATGGCGGCCGCCCAGAGAGCGCTCAATTGACGGTTCCCTTTGTAGATAATGTGCCAGGAGGGTGGTCTGCGTTCAGTAGTTTAATCTACCGAACCAATAAAACTTAAAATAAACGAATGACAGAAGAAAATCCAGAAATCAAGTCTATTTTCTTCTCATATGTAATCTGTAACTAACTATGTAACTATGTAACCAACTATGTAACTTTGTAACTAACTGTGTAACTGTAACTAACTTTGTAACTCTGTAACTATGTAACTCTGTACATATGTAACTAGCTATGTAACTAACTATGTAACCATGTAACTCTGTAACTAACTATGTAACTATGTAATTTGTAACTAAGTATATAACTAACTATGTAACTCTAACAAACTCTGTAACTAACTATGTAACTCTGTAAGTATGTAACTAACTATGTAACTATGTAATCTGTAACTAACTATGTAACTAACTTTAACTATGTATCAAACTAACATAGAAACATAGAATGTGACGGCAGATAAGAACCATTCGGCCCATCTAGTCTGCCCAATTTTATTTAAAATACTTTCATTAGTCCCTGACCTTATCTTATAGTTAGGATAGCCTTATGCCTATCCCACGCATGCTTAAACTCCTTTACTGTGTTAACCTCTACCACTTCAGCTGGAAGGCTATTCCATGCATCCACTACCCTCTCAGTAAAGTAATACTTCCTGATATTATTTTTAAACCTTTGTCCCTCTAATTTAAGACTATGTCCTCTTGTTGTGGTAGTTCTCCTTCTTTTAAATATAGTCTCCTCCTTTACTGTGTTGATTCCCTTTATATATTTAAATGTTTCTATCATATCCCCCCCAACTTATTTGACTGCTATTTCCTGTCCTAATGTGTTTTACACCCCACCTCCTATAGACTGTAAGCTCGTTTGAGCAGGGTCCTCTTCAACCTATTGTTCCTGTAAGTTTCTTGTAATTGTCCTATTTATAGTTAAATCCCCCCTCTCATAATATTGTAAAACGCTACGGAATCTGTTGGTGCTATATAAATGGCAATATTAATAATATGAGGCATTGACTGCAATCACTGAATATGTTGGCACAATAATTACTGTAATAACTTAACCAAACACACTGCAAATTACTGTAAGTTTTATTGCTGTGCTGTGGAGCTCTGTGATACACTCACACATACTGCACATTACTGTGAGTTTTATTGCTGTGGAGCTCTGTGATACACTCACACATACTGCACATTACTGTGAGTTTTATTGCTGTGGAGCTCTGTGATACACTCACACATACTGAATTACTGTGAGTTTTATTGCTGTGAGTTTTATTGCTGTGGAGCTCTGTAATACACTCACACACACTGCACATTACTGTGAGTTTTATTGCTGTGGAGCTCTGCAATACTATGACACACACTGCAAATTACTGTAAGTTTCATTGCTGTGCTGTGGAGCTCTGCAATACTATGACACACACTGCACATTACTGTGAGTTTTATTGCTGTGGAGCTCTGTGATACACTCACACATACTGCACATTACTGTGAGTTTTATTGCTGTGGAGCTCTGTGATACACTCACACACACTGCACATTACTGTGAGTTTTATTGCTGTGGAGCTCTGCAATACTATGACACACACTGCGCATTACTGTGAGTTTTATTGCTGTGGAGCTCTGCAATACTATGACACACACTGCACATTACTGTGAGTTTTATTGCTGTGGAGCTCTGCAATACTATGACACACACTGCACATTACTGTGAGTTTTATTGCTGTGGAGCTCTGCAATACTATGACACACACTGCACATTACTGTGAGTTTTATTGCTGTGGAGCTCTGTGATACACTCACACATACTGCACATTACTGTGAGTTTTATTGCTGTGGAGCTCTGTGATACACTCACACATACTGTACATTACTGTGAGTTTTATTGCTGTGGAGCTCTGCAATACTATGACACACACTGCAAATTACTGTAAGTTTCATTGCTGTGCTGTGGAGCTCTGCAATACTATGACACACACTGCACATTACTGTGAGTATTATTGCTGTGGAGCTCTGTGATACACTCACACATACTGCACATTACTGTGAATATTATTGCTGTGGAGCTCTGTGATACACTCACACATACTGTACATTACTGTGAGTTTTATAGCAGAGGAGCTCTGTGATGCACTTATAAATAGGAAATGTTTATAAGTGTATCACAGAGCTGGGAATATAAAAAGATGAAGCTGGATCTCAGTGATACAAAAGCATAGGCGTGCGCACGAGGCATGTGCCTCCCTCCGTGGGCGGGTGAGGGAGATCAGAGAGGGAGGGAGGGAGGCAGGAGAGGACCAAGGGAGCTCTTGCCTGCGGGGCTACAGTTCACTCACCACTGAACCACCAGGGATGGCAGCAGCACAGTCCCACTTCCCTACAAAAGGTAAGAAGGGAGGGGGGATATTAACTAAACGGTCCCCCCACCCCCACACAATACACACAAACAGCACACACACACTAACAGCACCCTCACACTAACAGCACCCTCACACATACAGCACCCTTAAACATACAGCACACTTACACATACACTAACAGCACCCTCACACATACAGCACTCTTACACATACAGCACCCTCACACACAGCACCCTTATACCCACTCAGCACACACACAGCACCCTCACAGATACAGAACCCTTACACATACACTAACAGCACCCTCACATATATAGCACCCTTACACACATACAGCACCCTTACACGTACACTAACAGCACCCTCACACATACCGCACCCTTACACACACTAAGAGCACCCTCACTCACACACACACAGCACCCTCACACTAACAGCACCCACACAGATACAGCACCCTTACACGTACACTAACAGCACCCTCACACATACAGCACCCTTACTCATACACTAACAGCACCCTCACACATACAGCACCCTTACACACACAGCATCATCACACACAGCACACACTAACAGCACCCTCACTCTCACACACACAGCACCCTTACACACACACACACTAACAGCACACACAAACACACAGTGCCCTTACACACACAGCACCCTTACACACACACACAGCACCCTTACACATACATACACACACACACTAACAACACCCTCACACACAGAGTGCCCTCACACACACAGCACCCTTACACACACTAACAGCAACCTCACCCTTACACACACTAACAGCAACCTCACACACACACAGAGCCCTCACACACACACACAGCGCCTACACACACACATAGTGCCCACAAACACCCAGCGCCCACACACACAGCACACACACACACAGACACACAGCACCTACATAAAGAACCCTCACACACACACACACACACACACATACACACAGCAGTGTGTGTGTGTGTATATATATATACGCGGCATGTGTGTTTGTGCATTAGGTTGCACACCCTTATGCAATAGGCTGCGCACGCCTATGTACACAATAAAATACTTGTATTTGAGGTCC